CGAGGTCCCGTGTACACACTGGCTTACACGTAAAAGATCCCTTGACAGATGGAATTCGATATAAGAGTAGGCCTTTGTGCCGTTGTCCGGGCAAAATTTCCCCCATAGCACATTGTATGGCGTATGCCCGTCTTCATTAGCCCAGTTCGGCGTAGGACGTTAAACCCCATTTCATATCATTGCATTTCATTTTAAACTATTGGTCTTATCTTTATATTTATTGCTATAGGTGCGAGTCCATATGCTGGCCTCTCTGCTAGACAAGTTATTTCTGCTGTATCAGAAGGAAAGAAGATGGACTGTCCAGAGTTTTGTAGCGATGACCTGTATGTATTTGGTGTATTTTTAAAGTTTGTTTGTTGCGACACTAAACTAATTATATGATCGCATATACATTCTGGTGCTCGTCAGATGACCAGCTATCAAAAGTTTGTTTATATTAGGTTCGCCACTGCACCGACTTAAGGTATACTTTAGGGCAATGGTTCTCAACCTTTTTTGCCAAAGGCACACACTGCAGGACATGAAAAAAATAGCGGCACACCTGGCTAAATATATATATGAAAAATATTTGAATTTTGCAAAATAAAAACATGGTATTAAGTCAGACGGCATACAACTGTAGACAGAGACTAATAATAGACACATAGAAAGACTCAGACTAAATAAAATAAAGAAAAACCCAGCTATGAACACCAATGGATATTCAATTGGGATCACGTGGTTTTTGGCATTTTCTTAGTGTGCCGTTCAAAATTTCAAGGCACACTGGTTGAGAATCGCTGCTTTAGGGTATACTTTTCTGTTCTAAACTAATGTTAGTTCCCTAATATTAACAGATGTTTTTAATCTATTGCGTTGAATATTAAGATGGCTTACCGAGGTAAAATAATGTAAATGCCAAGTCCTACATTAAAAAGGGAATTTTTACTAGGCACGGTATGCGTTCTTTACCTGAAGTCTCATAGCGTCATTAGAGCGCAATAGCAATCCGTTGCAAACTACAATATTGTGAAACACGAATCTTTAATAGGAATGATCGGTACAATAATGGTTCAGTTCGGTTCATTGTTTTCAAAGATGTGATGAATTGAAATTCCTTAGATCCATGCTGCTCGCCTTTTTGTTTTAGGCGAGCAGAAATGATAAGCCTGTTTTGAATTCTATTGATTCCACGTCGGGAGGTTATCTAGGCGTTGGTATTTTGATTTTGTTTTCTTAATAAAAACAAAAATAGTCAATCTAGTATATATTAGCGTGGATTAAGCCCTGATAAATTTGACCTTTTAGCGACATATGCAAATGACGCATCGTTGCTTTAAAACGTTCACACCACCATCAAATGTTTGAGGTATTATAAACATGACATTATGTAAGATTTAGATAAAGAGCTGACCATTCGTGCTATAATAGCTCAAAAATAGATACGGTAAAATGAAAATATTGAAAATGCCATTCAAATTACTTCATTCTGAGGAAAGTGATTATTTTTTGTAGTTTCGACAAGATTTGTACATTGCGGTAACCAGGGCACTGGTATATTCGAGACTTAGCCTCGCTTTCCCAGTTCTAAATTAATTTTTTAAATGGCGAACCGTTCTAATCTAGTTAAAATCTCGAGTATCCGATGCCATCGAGAGTTGATTATGGTCTTGTATTGTTAATAAATATATTATTAATAGTTTATATAACATTTTAGGCTAAAGAAAGACAGGGTAAGATCTTGCATAAAGTATGTTTAATTTTGCAGACAAAAATTGATCAAACAGTGCTGGGGAGATAACTCAAGCCAAAGACCAAGTTTTAAAGAGATCTGTAAAATATTAGAAATACTGCTAGAAGAACAAACAGATTATATTCACCTTCAAAATTACGAGGAGGGAATTTACTGTAACCTATTCCCAGCTACAGATGACGACAATAAATTACAAGAAGGGGATTTCCCGTAACTTATTCTCAATTCCCAGCTACAGATGACGACGATAAATTATATGGAGGGGATTTCCCCTAACTTATTCCCAGCCAGTGGCGGACTGGTCAGGTTGTCAGCTTGCCCAATGGCAAGTCGACCCAAGAGGAAGTGGGCCCCCTTAGACATTAGACAATATATTTAAAATATAAATTATCAAAAAATATATAAATTCTAATTACATCTTTTTGTTTCCACTTATATATTTTTTGAAAGTTTAATTTATTCACTTTCAAAATTAAATGATAGAATTGTATTGGCGGATGGGCCCAAAATTGTCTCCTGGCAACCAATATTTTCAGACCCAGTCCGCCACTGTTCCCAGGTATGACGAAGATAAATAACAAGAACGAGGATTACTGTTATTTTGTACAAAAATGTAGCATAAATATATTTAATACACGTGTTTGGGGCTAAAACAATTCTGAAATTTTGTGACTTCTGTTTTTAGACATCATGGACAAACCAATCTGAAGATGTTTTGACAAACACATTGTTTAAAAGATAATTCAATACACTTGGTTGGGACTAAAACAATTCTGAAATATTGTGATTGTAGTTTTTGAGACATTATGGACAAACCAATCTTGACAAACACATGGTTTAAAGAATAATTAACCATGAAGCCGTCCAGGAGTAGAAAATAAATGGATTGTGTACATATAGTTAGTAAATGTACTCTTTCCGTCTCAAGGGACGCAAACATATTTTGAAAAGTAAGTTGTAAAATGGAGTTTTCTCCCCAGGACGCTCTTCCATGTCGGACAAATTGCTAACAAGCTTAAATTAGCTAAGTCCCTAATATTTGGGACCTAGAAATTGACCCAAATGGGTCGCAACGTATATAATAATGTAATCTGATTGTATGTGAACTGATTTACATTCAATTGTTTCCGTTTTGAATCTAATTTCAAATCCGTTATATCCAGCGAAATACGGCATGAGTCTCAACCGAATGGAAATTTTCTAGCGTCTGGTTATTCCAGTCTATTGCGCATGCTCTCCAGATAAGTTAAGGCGTCACGAATCGTGTACCATAGTGCGTTTCAGCGTCATTTGTAACAAGTGACCAGAAAGAACGAGGCTAGACATATTCCACAACTCCTGTCAAACGGTGACGCCTTAAATGTTTATTTTGTTTTAAATATTGGATATCAGAAGCCTACCTTTTCCCGGTAAGATCACAACATCAATGTTGATTTGAATTGACAAATAATTCGTGTTTTCAACGTGTAAAACTTTGGATGATATTGAGTTAGAGACTTGCCTACTTTAAATATTGTACCAAATACAAATAAATAGCTTCATTACATTCCAAATAAAAATGAATAGCTTCATTACATTCCTTATAAAAGTGGTTGCTGTTATTATGAAGTTATGTTGGTTTGGTTTCCTATAGCAGGACAGTTCAGTGGCAATGATTTTATAGCTGATGACATAGGCGGCTGATTGGCATTACATATACAAAGTAAAAATAACTGTAAAATATTTTATTAATATTAAAAGACGTCAGATAGACAGATCTGTCATGATTCTAAAAATGCACAAGGTCGCCGGCAAACGTGAACATAACGCGCGAAAATGTCCCAAAAATTTAAAAACTTGAAGAAAGTCGTGTTCTCAGATCGGCGACCATTGGCGACCATGGTGACCACAGCACGATAGCTGGCGTTTCCAGCACGCTTATGGCGATCTTAACGCGCTGTAAAACCATTTTCCGTCGCCTTAGCAGCGAAGTAAGGACGCCACCTCGGTCTGACGGGGGTAGAAAGAGTAGTTATACAAACGTGCGAAAATTTGTTAGCTATGTGAACTCTATAGTGGTATCGGGTGTCTAGTCGTTCGGATGGAACGAAAACCCGAGGTCCCGTGTACACATTGGCATGTACGTAAATGAACCTTTGACAGTTGAAATTCGATGTGAGTAGCCCATAGTGACTCTGTCCGGGGCCAATTTCCCTCATGGCGCAACTACACTGTATGGCGCATGCCCATCGCTATTGGCCCAGTTGGTGAAGTTTGTATTGAATTGAGCTATTGGCCTATATATTTCTATGTGGACCTTAACCTCCCAATTAAACCAGAAAATTGTCGCGCCTTTCGGATCGCATTCTTATTAAAACTAAAGATATATTTCAAAGCCTGCAATTATAGACAGCCAATATTATGTCTCGACAATTAAAGCCTTTCAAAAGATATTGCTTAATTTTCTGTATAACCAGATTTGATTGGATAGGTTAATGTGGATTACTGTGCATTACTGAACGTACCCTATAAAGAAACGGATCGAAATTGTGCTATAGTTATAATTCGTTGTTTGTTATGAATTATCAACGCGTTTGTTATGAATTATCCAATTTGCCAATGTTGTGTTCATGCATTGTTGAGCACCTACTGTAAATATTTTATCCTGCATATATATTGAGACAACTACTGTATGGAATTAAACTAGAGTTGCTTCCCCTCATTTAGTTTACCTGTCTGTCTCTTTTTTAGCCCCCACGGTATGCCAATGTATGTCAATTTTTAGCTGTACAAAACAGGAGCGGATCCAGCCCCCCCCCCCCTGCTCAGCTACATGATTTTTTTTTGTAAATCAACACTAACTTTTTAGGAGAAAAGTTTCTCGGGCCGTGTGCTTTATCCTTTATCGTCAGATGTGGGACAGAATGGGCACTCAATGCACGAGATAATGATATAGACATTATGTGATATCACAATTAATGCTTTGCATCCATGAAATTGAATCACAATGTCATTGTATTAATTCATAATAAAAATTGACGTCAAACGAGGTGTTGAATTTCTCTGTTTAAAAAGCTCAATGTGTACGTATGTACAACAAAATGACGATAGAGACCATGCGCGAGAGGGGGGGGGGTAAATACATTGTCTCAGGAACCTGGCAAACCCCCTCCTGCAAACATTCCTGGATCCGCCCCTGCATGCATATTCAATGAAAATGTTTTGAATTTACACGTACAATATCATGTTTATATATAAAAAAAAATCATTTATTTATGTATGCAATTTTTATATAAATAATACAAGCCGAAATAAAGATTACAACCATGACGTCATTGCCACCATCTTAAAATTGCAACGCCATATTAAACATAGAAGTCGGTCAATCGATATACACTTGTGAAAGAAATGCGCATGTTAAGATATATGTCGATCTCACATGAATTGACGTCACCACCAAGGAGACGAAGTACAGCAAGAACCAGAAGATGTGTAGCACTTGTGTCCTAATTTATGTTTCAAAAATAAAGCCAATAAGAGGGGTAGAAATGGGTTTAATGTTCACTCGACACAAACTAGGTTATTTCGGGACTAACATATGGTTTAATTTTATTTCAATAATTCACTTGCGCGTAATGGTCTTTAGCAGTGGGGGGGGGGGGGGCGGGGGATCCACAGAAAACCCACGAGGTTGGACAGGCGATAAGCCAATAAACACTAGGGCCTATGTTTACTTTTAGATTTAAATTAGATTGAAGCCAGTATCCCCCCAGTTCAATTTGTTATACATCTAATATTATTCAGGTGTTGGTATAATCCTCTCTAATCCATTATAGTCGCGTTCTTTACTTCGATGTGCCTCAATATACGGTTTCAAGGTATCTCTCAAATCAGAATAATTATTGTTAGATTGGATCCTGAAATAAAAAGAATAAATTGTTTATATTTAAAAAAACTACTGCAATGTTTGTTTTCAGTGAAATTTATGACATGAAACTGTCTGATTGCGATCAAAAATCGCCAGTTCTCTGCTGCGAATCACGAAAGCCGACTAAATATCGCAATATGCCAACTGACCTAATATAAATGAAATGAAATGGGGGTTTAACGTCCTACTGTTTTGCTCCGGAATGGGCTAAAGAAGACAGGGATACGCCATACAGTGTGCTATGAGGGCAATTTTGCACTATGGCCTACTCTTATATCGAATTTGAACTGCCAAGGGATCTTTTACGTGCACGCCAATGTGTACACGGGACCTCGGTTTTTCGTCCCATCTGAACGACTAGACAGCTGCCCTTCTTGTCAGGTCCTCTGTCCTGCATCACTGACAAGGGAGAACCACGCCGGAAAATCTGGATGAACTTTCTCGGCCAATGCAGGGATCGAACACCCCACCTCCAGGCTAGCGAGCCAGCGTCTTACCCACTTAGCCACCGTGATCCCCCTGTCCTAATATAGGGATTATACTTGAGTATGCGTTCACGCACATACACTACTGTGTTTGAAGTTGATAATACACAGGGACCTCTATATGTTTACGGTAGATAGATACATTGGAATACACATAAAAGATCCCTTGGCAGTTGGAATTCGATATAAGAGTAGGCGATAGTGCCGCTGCCTGGGCAAAATTTGTCTTATAGCACACTGTATGGCGTATGCCTGTCTTCATTAGCCCAGTATAGAAGCAGAACAGTAGGACCTTAAACCCCATTTCATTTCATTTCACACATAAAGCCAGGGAGTATAATAATTATATATACACTTATATATATACTTATATACAACTGGTTTTTAATTGATTTAATCTCACTGTGCCCCCCAATCAACTGGTGTTATAGGGTAGTGGTGTGAAAATTTAAGTAAACAAAGGATTATAGACTGTATCCTTATTAGTACTGTTCACCTAGTTAAAATTTAATTATTTTAATGATTAAAATATATATGTTAAATTCACGTGTCATCGGTTAACGAGTATCTTAAATATTATTCACCTACCTTTCATTCAGACAGTACTCATAAATCAATCAAATATATGATTAGAAACTCACTATCATTATATAAGGATAGTTGTCACCCCCAATTACATTATATCTTTTAAAATGGCTCAAGTTCGCATAGGGTTTATTCCTAATTCTCAAGGAGGTCAAAATTTAGTTAATTTGGGGTATAAGTACAGAGTAAAAAATACGAAACCCCATAGCACCAGCAGACTTTTACTGAAAATACAATAGTTCAATTGGATGGATAACGGGGACGATTGCCCCCTAAAAGACGAAAATATAAAAGAGTAGAAGAATCTATTAATGATCTAAAAATCAAACTGTTAAATGGAGTAGAAAGTGCAATTGAATATACTGACGCCATATCACATTTAGTAGGGGGCACAGTGAGATGTCCCCTTTTAATTATTTATCGCGTACCTAAAAGCAAAACGATTATATTAAAAGCACACTAACCAGTCTTCGGCCATCCCCAAGCAACGTTCATCTGCTTTCGGGAACTTGTGTCGCAACTCGTATAGTTCTTTATGGAGGTTTTGAAAGCTTTCCGACTGTCTAGAATAATTCAAGTCTCGGAACAATTTTAATAGCTGGAGAAATAAATAAATGTTGATGACAATGTGAATAAATGACAATTTTATTTTGCCTAGAAGTTATATTTTTTTTAATTAAATATATATTATAATACGGACATTCAGGGGCGCCGGAACCCGGGTACCTGGGTATACAAATGGTACCCTGCCCTTTTTCTGGGGTATACATATAACCATGCCCTAATGATGAAATTTTCAACCTTTTTACTAGATGATTTGCTCATGATACGAAAATTGTGAATAATCAGGCTTTTGTGTCTTTCATTATCATGTATTTTAAAGGGTTTTATGTTGGAATTTGGAATGCTAGAGGCGCTCTAAACAGCGTTCTCGGAATTGGTACCTTGGCCCTCACGCCGTTCTGGCGCCCCTGCGGACATTAGCTAACAAAATTCGAGATTTACTCTGTCAAATTTTTTGTCCATAAACTGTTAGGATTTGCAAATGCCAAAGTTTCTGACTAACATTCTATGGCCAAACCGGTTAATTTGGAATCGGTTACCAATATCTACAATGTTTCTCCCCCCCCCCTCCCCAGATCCTCAAATTATCGCATCAATTTTATATCCAGTTCCATGAACTAAAATTAACTACCAGTTCGATATTCTCTACAGAATAGACATGGGGATTGGATGGCCGAATGGTAAGCACGTCCGCGCTGTATTAAGTCAACTAGTAGGGTTGCCTGTCCAACCTCGTGGGTTTTTTCCGGGTCCTCCGGCTTCCCCCCACTGCTAAAGACCCCCTACCGTGCAAGCCAATTATTGAAATAAAATTAAACCATATGTTAGTCTCGAAATGACCTAGTTTGTGTCGAGTGGACGTTAACACCCCCCTCTCTCTCTCTCTCTCTCTCTCTCTCTCTCTCTCTCTCTCTCTCTCTCTCAAGACATGTAATACATATCAACGTTATTTAAAGATAGACAGAAGATTTATCTTACCAAGTATATTTGAACTTTGATTTTCTTCTTCCCTGCGTAAAGTCTATTTTCTGTGATGTTTAATATCTGATTTTCTTCCATCTTCAAGTTTTGAAATAATTCACTTGTATCTTCGTCACTCTTACAAATCTCTACTGCTAGAGATCTCAAGAACTCATCCGACATCGGTTTCTTTGTACCTGTATTACAACATAACAGTTAGTTTCAATATTCTCAACAGTCAAGTTGTCTATTTATGGATGCTTACATCTGACCAGCTCTGGATAAATGGGACACAGGTTTGTGGTTTGTTTAGCCTTTTTTTTTTTTTTTTTTTTTTTTTGTTTTGATTGATATTTTTAGTTTTTTTTTCACACAGCGCTCAAAATGTATCGGAAATGCATGAACTTTTGTTAACATATCTGGAAGGATCTAATGTTACCGAAGACTGCGAATTTGGGACAATGTAGGAACAAGCATTAAAAGGCTAACAACCATTACAGCACACAGGAACATAACGTATCATAACATATTGTAGTCATTGCGGTCATCGTCCTAATTCACGTCTGCTTTCATTGTCACGTGCCCTGATTCTGTCTTCTACCTGAGATCATTTATAATAGTCAAGGTGTTATCAACATTCTTATTAGTATTTAACAGCCATTCACATTAATTAGTAGCCTTTATTTAAAGTTGCAATTTCATATTTTTAAGTTATATTTTTAAAATTTATTAAAATAAAGCCTTAAAATAGATGGTATCTATAAAGAGTCATACATTGTTAAAGAATAATCCTATTAATCCTATAATTCACTATTGCCAGTTAAGAAATTGGCAAAAATATCATTTTCAACTTCAAATTCAAACGTTTGAGGATAGCTATTCCATGGGGGGGGGGGTGGAGAATAGAAAAACAAGGGAGGTAATTGTGGTATTATTTCCGGGGTCAAAGGATTTTTAAGTGGGAGAATAATACCTATGATCGTATAATAGTGAGTTGACAACCTATTGAGCAAAAGACATAATAATAATTATGTTTTGACTTTCTTAGAAAATATGAAATTATCGCTTTAAAGGACAATCATATAATATTATCTAATAATATTGACGTGATGTCTAACTTACTAACTTAATTACTAGATGTGTTATACACCTGCCAATACCATTTTCTCAAATAACATATTGCTGTTATATGATTTGCTCAAAATCGGGTTTAATGCCTTTTTATTCATGTACAGTTCTGTTTCCTCATTTATGTCAAAATGCGAGTCTGTGGTAAGGCAAGGATGTGTACATAGACCCATTCTGTTTAGCATTCGTATAAACCCCAAAAATATAAGAGGTATTTTCGTTACTTAAGACTTTGATGACGCCCTTCTGTGTGATTCAGTCAGTAAACTGTAGATCAAATGACATGGAACTGGCTTTAACGTTCTGCTTTTCTTCACAAACACGGACAATGAAGATGGGTAAATACCATGCTGTTCGCAATATGGTTGCTATTGTTACGCGGACGATTCTTGTTTCGAAATTCGAATTATCAGTGAAGTCTTACGTGAACGCATTGACGAACCTCGGGTTTTCTAGACGTTGGTCCTTGCCAAAGTCTCCTTTATGCACAACTGACAATGGGGAAACCGCGGCGGAAAACTCGATATCCCTGGGCCCGGTTCCTAGAAAATTCTTAAAGTAAGCACAAAGTCATGCTTCACTTTTTCTTACGTAAGAAACTTGTAAAAATACCGTCCCTAGAAAATTCTCAAGACCATTCTTACGTAAGCACAAGTCAAGTATAAGCCTAAGCACATTGTGACTGGTAAAGTTTACCATAAACTGAGACTAAGATGCTCTTTAACGTCACAAAAACAACTTTGGTATGCGAATTACGTCATAAATTTGTCATCTGCTTCATTGACGTCATAATATATATTCCTAGGTTGATTTAGATGCATTTGACATGTCCCCTATACACATATAAAATGTGCCACAAGATAAAAAAAAACGCAGACACATACAAACTAACTGAATAATTGTGAGAGCGCCTGATCTTAAGTAGCCCGTATGTTTGTAGCCTATTGTTTACTAATTGGCAAATAAATAAAATGGTTTCAGGGTAGGCTAGGCCTAGAAGCGAAATTTTCTATAGTATTCATAATTTCTTCTGGAGAAGGATTTTCTCTGTCTTGTAATTGTCTCTTTGGTATAAAAACGTGTCGGAAATGCCGTCGAATAGCTCTACGGTCAGCCATCGTTTTGAAGTGGAAACAGACTTAAGGTTGGTAAGCAAGCCGTATACCTTGCTTGGGACTTGTGCTTAGATTTACAATGTTTAAGAACGAAGTTGTGCTTAAGTTTTTTCTTGGAACGCATAAAAACGTTCTTGTGCTTACAATGAAGTCTACTTAAAATCTAAGCACAGGAACGTTCTTAAGAATTTTTTGGGAACACAAAATAAGGTAAGTTTACTTAAATGCAAAGTCTACTTAAATCTAAGCATAAGAACGTGCTTAAGAATTTTCTAGGAATCGGGCCCTGGTAAACAGACAATAAGCATTTCATACTCGCCTTGTTTTATTTTAGAAAATCCATCTGGGTCTATATCTGATAACCAGATAGTAAACGGTACTCTTGTTTTAATATAATCTTTCTTCCTGAAAAAAAAACAACAACAACAAATAAAAACATGCCAAATATCTAATATAATTGTAACACACCTCACGGTTTTATGTGAGAGAGAGGGTTTAACGTCCACTCGACACAAACTAGGTCATTTCGCGACTACATATGGTTAAATTTTATTTCGTAGGGGTCTTTAGCAGTGGGGGGAAACCGGAGGACCCGGAGAAAACCTACGAGGTTGGAAGGCGACCCTACTCCTTGTCACGCACAACCGGGGATTCGAAACCACGCCAGTTGACTCAATGATAGACTTTATAATACAGCGTGCACGTGCTAACCATTCAACCATCCAATCTCCCTTTATTGAAAGCATATTCTTTCTAAGCACGTATACTGTCGTTTTGGTTTGTTATACGCTAACGCTAATTCTACGATATACTGGCGTGCAGAGAGTGGGGTGGGGAGCTATGGTGGGTAAGACGTCGGCTCGCTAGCCTGGAGGTCGCGTGTTCGATCCCTGCATTGGCCAAGAAAGTTTATCGGGATTTCTTTGCAGTTGGAATTCGATATAAGAGGAGGCCATAGTGCCGCTGCCCAGACACTGTATGACGTATGCTCGTCTTCATTAGCCCAGTATGACGCTAAACCCCATTTCAATTTCATTTCATTTTCGCAAAGAGTAGGGGTGCGGGCGTGATGGCCTGGAGATGAATGAAAAAAGCTTAAATTTGAAATAATCGCACACCAGCTTCCCTACTTAATTTTAATAAAAAGTTTATTTGTTTATTTTTAAATATACCCCCCCCCCTCCTTTCTCAAATGTCTCAGTACTATGACACATACTTGAATCAAGGGAGCAAAATATCAAGAGGTTGGCTCCAACCATCACCGGATATCTGCACGCCACTGCTACGATATTGTATAAACGTACGAACATACACAGTACAGTTATCTATTTAAACAGTGTATAAACGTACGAACATACACAGTAAAATTATCTATTTAAGCATTGTATAAACGTACGAACATACAATGTACAATTATCTATTTAAACATTGTATAAACGTACGAACATACACAGTAAAAATTATCTATTTAAACATTGTATAAACGTACGAACATGCAATGTAAACTTATCTATTCAAACATTGTATAAACGTACGAACATACACAGTAAAATTATCTATTCAAACATTGTTTTAATTTACCAATCCTTTAATTGTTCTAAAATATCCCCCACAAGTTCCGTTTGTTCCAAATCGCCAAGCCCTTTAATCAATGCTGGTAAGCCACCATCTTCTCTGTTTATAGCTATATCTCTCCATTCCCTTAATACTTGCTATAAAATATACAAAAATAAATGTGATAATTAACAACTGAAATAATTGGACATTTTATATAGTCAGAGGTAACTCTGTCCCTACAACTTTACATTAACTCAATTCTGGACATTTAAATGTATCTATATCAAATGGGTGTAACTTTATCTAATCAAGAATAATTTGAATAGCAAAAAAAGTTAATGAAATGAAATTAAATTGGGTTTAACGTCCTACTGTTCGGCCCTGACTGGGCTAATGAAGACGGGCATACGCGATACAGTGTGCTATGATGAGGAAATTTTGCAGGGCAGCAGTCCTTCGCCTACTCTTATATCGAATTCCAACTGCCAGGGGAGCTTTACCTGCAAGCCAATGTGTACGCAGGATCTCGGTGTTTCGTCCCATCCGAACGACTAGACAGTTGTCCTTGTCAGGCTCTCCGTCCTGCACCACTGACAAGGGGAAACCATATCGAAATGCAGGGATCGAACACGCAACCTCCAGGCTAGTGAGCTAGCGTCTTACCCACTTAGCCACCGTGGTTCCAAAAATGTTAATAATAAGAAGAGTTCAACACAGGACTAAAACGGACCCACTTTCGTTTAAAGGCCAACTGACTCAATATTTCATATGAACTCTCGACATTTATCATTCAATATTTTTCCCTATTAGCCAACGTAGTATTGATGTTTGTTAAAAGCCAAATAAGCTATCATCCGAGCTAAAAGAAAAGGCCCATTAAATTTCCATAGAATTAAGGCTCTTGCTCACTTGTCATTGATTCAACTGGCGTGGTTTCGATTCTCCGGTTGTACGTGACAAGGAGTAGGGTTTTCTCCGGGTCCTCCGGTTTCCTCCCACTGCTAAAGACCCCTACACGCAAGCGAATAATTAAAATAAAATTGAACCATATGTTAGTCCCGAAATGACCTAGTTTGTGTCGATTGGACGTTAAACCCCCCTCTCTCTCTCGCTCTCTCTCTCTCTTTCACTCTCTCATTCTTTAGCAGGGATATTCGTTATCTGATCTGCTGTTGTTTGTAGGGATAATAGTGATTAATTACAAATCAAATCAGATCAGTTTCTGGTTATGACGTATTCGCACTGAGTCGGTGGATTTTGGAAGCTCTTAATAACAAGGACAAAGAAAAGAAAATACAAGACCCCATCAGGTTTAGGTCTATAATTAATCATTCGTGACTATTTAGCTATATCATTTCCTGGAGTGATTTACCTCAATTTGGGACACATGGGTTGGATTCGATATGAAATGAAATGAAATGGGGTTTAACGTCCTACTGTTCTGCTTCGAACTAGGCTAATGAAGATAGGCATACGCTATACAGTGTGCTATGAGGGACATTTTGCCCGAACAGCGGCACAACGGCCTACTCTTATATCCAACTGTCAAGGGATCATTTACGTACACGCCAATGTGTACACGGGACCTCGGTTTTTCGTTCCATCCGAACGACTAGACAGCTGTCCTTGTCAGGCCCTCCGTTTTGCATTACTGACAAGGGAGAACCACGCCGGAAAATCTGGATGAACTTTCTCGGCCAATGCAGGGATCGAACACCCGACCTCCAGACTAGCGAGCCAGTGTCTTACCCACTTAGCCACCGTGATCCGGACTCTAGTTTTAATTCCAATTTACATACCTCACGTGGTTCAGTGATCGCCGTAGATTTATGAATGTCAACCAGTAGTTTATCAAATTGTTCCTTTTCTAGTTTGTTTGTGATGTGTTTAATAAGCCGATCACTAAGAAAACCTGCAATGTTTTGTAACAGTTGAACAGAACCAATAATTCAACCAGTCCCAAAGAAAGGCATTATTAGATTTTAACTTCTTTAAGTAGCATTTAGTAATTGAACAGTAACAAACTAACACTATTTATGATATAAAAATAACAATAACAATTATCATTTACTTGATAAAGATGAGAGTATCATCGTCGAAACGTTGCATGTTAATAAACCAGTAATTGTTATTCCATAAATAGTGTCAGTGTGTCATAATTTATAATTTTGATAATTAAAAAGCAATTTCATTTAAATGTCAGCCAATCTGATTAAAATACAGATCTATATCTATGGACGATAGTCTCGTCTTTATCAAGGTTTAACGTCCTACTATTAGGACTCTAGGCACTCTACCAACCTCATTAAAAGACGATTCTACATGGAAATGACAATTAAGTTATTTCTAGATTGGGGGGTTGGATGGCTGAATGGTGCGCGCGCTGTATCATAAAGTCTGTCATTGAGTCGACTGGCGTGGTTTCGAATCCCCGGTTGTACGTGACAAGGAGTAGGGTCGCCTGTCCAATCTCGTGGGTTTACTCCGGGTCCTCCGGTTTCCTCCCACTGCTAAAGACCCCTACGCGCAAGCGAAGTTTTGAAATAAAAATTAAAAACCATATGTTAGTCCCGAAATGAACTAGTTTGTGTCGAGTGGACGTTAAACCCCATTTCTCTCTCTCTCTCTCTCTGTCTCTCTTTCTAGATTTGTTTGTTTCAAAAATACCTTATAATTCATACCGTCACTGTTCATATCGTCTGGGGTCTTCAGACAATGTTTTTCGTGCGACGTGTCCGCACAAGGGTTAACGTCGTATATTTTCATTTATAACAGTTATTTGTTGCTTAGTAAACGATATCAACATTACAGTGCTATTAAGGGGATAATCATTCATTCATACCTTCATACTTCTTTTTTCGGTGATCTTCGTTTTTATTTTCTCTAGGTTTCAGGTGCAAATGAATTCGATCAATGGTCTCACCTGTCGTAAGCCCATACTTATTCTCTTGCGGTTGTAGGTCTATAATCTCTAATTGTCCACGACATTCAAAATCTTCATTTGTGGGTATTATGGCAAAGCACTTTTTGTTTTCTTTTGTTCGTTTAGGGTGGAATTCAAGACTCTGTTGGATCTTTTCGTCAATTTCTAACTGCCCTTTCACTTCCAGAAGAAACTTATGACCCGAATACGTCGTGAACGGTTTCGTGAAGCTTGGCTCTTGATCGACGTAATTGTCACTTACATGGTCTTCGATACGTGATTTATAGTTCGGAGAATTTGTACACTCTGCCAGAAGTTCAGCTTCTCCTCTATTATTAAGCTTTGTGAGTAGACCTAGGAATACTGCTTTGCATTCAGCTCTCAGAGCTTTTTGATACAGTTGTTCAGTTTCCCCTCGGAGGTTTCTATTACTTTCAGGACTGGATTGTCTTGCGGCCACCCTACAATGAAAATGTTGGTATTTATCATTTTGGGGAGAGAGAGAGAGAGAGGAGAGAGAGAGAGAGGGCGGGGGGTAACCTCCACTCGACACAAACTAGGTCATTATGTCATTTCGGGACTAACATATGGTTCAATTTTTATTTCAATACTTCGATTGCGCATAGGGGTCTTAAGCAGTAAGAGGAAACCGGAGGACCCAGAGAAAACCCACGAGGTTGGACAGGCGACCCTACTCCTTGTCACGTACAACCGGGGATTCGAAACCACACAAGTTGACTCAATAACAGACCTTATGATACAGCGCGCACGTGCTAACCATTCGGCCACCTACCACCCCCTTATCATTTTGTAGTAAAGGAAAGAAAAAATGGCACCTGTCCGATTACGAAACATAGCAAGGTGTGTCTTGTGTGTTTTTGTAAGGATGCCAACCTAATATTATGTAATTATCTAGCATAACCCTTACCCAGGGGAGCCACGGTAGCTAAGTGGGTAAGACGCTGGCTCGCTAGCCTGGATTTTGCGTGTTCGATCCATGCATTGGCCGAGAAAGTTCACGGGGATTTTCAGGCGTGGTTTCCCCTTTTCAGTGCTGCAGAACGAGGTCCCGATAAGGACAGCTGTCTAGCCGTTCGGATAAGACGAAAAACCGAGGATCCGTGTATACATTGGCGTGAACGTAAAAGAAGCCTTTACAGCTGAAATTCGATATAAGAGTAGGCCATAGTGCCGCTGCCGGAGCAAAAATTCCCTCATAGCACACTGCATGGCGTATGCCCGTCTTCATTAGCCAAGTCGGAGCAGAACATTAGGACGTTAAAACCCATTTCATTTCATTTTATTACCATTATCTAGGCATAGAGAACGATAGATCTCCCCACTTGCTAATTTTAAATGCTAATTTGTCCATAAGCAGTTACAGTCATTATTCCAAACAACAGAATATGCAAAAATTGTTCACTTACGCACAGAAATGGGGAATATCTGCTTGTATTTTATTTTGGGTGACAGTTGGGGAATCAGTCAGTACTTCCCATTTATCTGCGTCATATCCGTTGTCACCTTCCTGTCTTAGCATTACGTATAATTTATATTCCTTAGAACCGGAAGTATAACCATTCGGCAACGGAAGCGTCATTTTCACTTTATTCTTCGGCTGTTCTGATGACGAATGAGTGACGTCATGAAAATTGGTGCACGCGATGAGATTGGGGAACTCTTCTTTAGAAATCATTGGCTTGGGTAAAATCTGAAAGACAATTTAAAGATACATTCCCGGGTACACTCTCCCACTCTCTCTCTCTATCTCTCTCTCTCTGTTAAATTTGTTACAGTATCCTTAAAGATACATTCCCGGGTACAAACTGGGTGATTTGATGATCTATTTGGACTAAAAACACATTCAAACTAATTAATTTATCATAATTTTGCTTCAAATCCTTCTCAAAATCCTTCTCTTGTAATTGTCGGGGAATACTCTGGCTATAAAAAATCGATCAAAAGAGTTCATGTTTGTGTCACGTGACTTACCTCTCTCGGTACCTAGCAACGCAAGCGAAGTCGGAGGAGAATTTATTGCACACACAAGACGATATTGTCTTTAATCGCTGACTATTTATTACAAATATCAAAGCCTAATTAAATTTTCGGATTATCCACTGCCCTGCGTCTTTTTCCGTGATTTTTATCCCAGAAAGTGTTGTGCGTCTAATTCTTCAGAAAGTTTATCAAAATGTACATCAAGCGCCCAATCTCCGCGTGCAACCTTCGACGTCACGCGCGCAGACACTCCTAATCGTCGGGCTGTTGATTAGGGAACCCTTACATTTTTGTCCTGTATACGCTCCATGAGTGTTTTTCGGGGAATCCAGTATTTTTCTAGTAAGATTGGATATCTCTACTTTCTATATATACCAAAATTACCATACTTTTATTGGAAATAACCACCCGATAAATACTTTTCTGGGAACCTATATTTAAATTTGGTGCCCCTATGAGTCGCCCACGGAAATTTAAAAAAAACCTGGTATACTCATTCGACACAACTTTAAGACCAATATCTCCTGCCTTCATTTGGGGGGATCACGCGGCTTAGTGGGTAAGACGCTGGCTCGCTAGCCTGGAGGTCAGGTGTTCGGTCCCTGCATTGACCGAGAAAGTTCATTCAGATTTTCCGCGTGGTTTCCCCTTTTCATTGATGCAGGATGGAGGGCCTGACAAGGACAGCTGTCTAGACGAGACAGAAAACCGAGGTCCCGTGTACACATTGGCGTGCACGTAAAAGATCCCTTGGCAGTTGGAATTCGATATAAGAGTAGGCCATAACGCCGCTACCCGGGCAAAATTTCCCTCAAAGCACACTGTATGGCGTATGCCCGTCTTCATTAGCCTAGGTTAGGAGCAGAACAGTAGGACGTTAAACTCCATTTCATGTCATTTCATTTCCTGCCTTCATGTGCGGAGTAGCACAGTCGTCCGATTCATTGACAAGAACTGATAACAACTTGTTGTTATTGTTCTTAGTGTTTAACGTCCGCTTCCACCGAAGGTGATATCGCAGACAAGTCTTATTATCTTAGTGCACGCTGTGGGAGGAAACCGGAGTACCCGGAGTAAACCCAGGAGGCGCCCCTATCTCCAAGCCACATACGGTCACACCAGGGATCGAAACCACAGCCGCAAGCCAGAGGTGACGGGCCAGCTAGAGGTCGATGCGCGGCATTCTTAGACCACTAGGCCATCCCAAGTCCCCTGATAACAACTTTGTGCGGTGTAATGATATACATACCTGGTGTACCAATGCGCCATCTGTACTAAATGTGTCCTTCTCAACTTCGAAGGTGACATAAGTATCAATTGTAGACTTTACCTTTCCACCTTTCGTTGACATTGCCAGGTATTCTTTCTTCGGTAGAGTAACTAACAACAAACTATCCACTAAGCGAAGGTCAACTTTTACAGAACATTGTACAAAATCCTGAAAGAAAAAACAATATACTGTAGGGGATATCAGTGTATATTAATAACAGGCCAATTTCCTACACATGAACATAAACAGTTCATATGAGCGGTTTATCTGACGGCCCCCATTTGACTCGCAAAGAGATACACTGTCAAAAGTGAAAATGGACGTTTTTGATTTTTGTCTTAATAATGAGTAATTGCTCCACCAATCCTCAGAGATTCAGCAATTCGTCGTGGCATGCTCCTAATCAACCGTCCAAGCACGATTTGGGGCAATCTGAACCAGTCCCCTTGCAATGCCACGGCCAATTCTTGCTGTGTTGACGGTTGACGTTGACCTCGACGAACACGTCTCCCGATCAAATTAAACGTAACACACTAAATCAAAGATACGCTAAACAGTAAATCTTATGCAAGATCCGATAGGAATGCTAACATGGATAGATAAACCAGCACGCGGCAGTTTTCATCAACCCTTCCTTGAAGTGTCAACTTTGACAATGAACCCCTCCCACGTGTTTGGCGCTATTGCGTGTCGCATGTGCAGCTCAGTTGTTCTGTTGGAGCGATAGGTTCTTCATCTGTGATGTGAACATACTCTCAAAGCAAGTCAAGTGTCAATGACTATTTATCGCCTGCAGGCGATACGTTTCAAGTCAGTAGCTTGAAGCGTATATATGGTATTAGTGTCAGTGGCCTGTGGCACGAAGTAACAGTATATTGTCGCATACATAATATATTATGTCAACGCTTGGGCGATATAATATATTATGTCAACGCTTGGAACTAGGATGGAGGTGACTAGGCATGAACTTGCAACGATAGATTTAATTGGCGCTTTGATAACCAATGAATGCTTGTTTTTTTCTTTTCTGTTTTTTCTCTCTTTTCTGTGTCCTAACCCTAACCCTAACCCTAATCCGAAAGAAAAGTGCCCTTTTTTGAAATTCTGACATCACAGGTGCCCTTTTTCTGATAAGGATGCCCTCTTTTATTTACAGGGACACTTTCTATGGCTCTGATGACGCGTACATTCCACTGAGTCTACAGGTCTAATATGCTAACACGCTTGGAGCGTCAACACAATATATTATGTCGCCCAAGCGTTGACATAATATATTATGTATGCGACAATATACTGTTACTTCGTGCCACAAGCCACTGACACTAATACCATATATACGCTTCAAGCTACTGACTTGAAACGTGCAGGGTGATTTATCATATCACAACCTGCATAGGTATTTGCATTTCAATATCCCTTACTTTTTTTGAAGAGAATATATACCAAATATATTGGTATGGTAGTATTCAATTTTTCAAGAATAAACGTGAATCCAAGTAAATGAGATCTCAAATGGATTATTGAAAATTTAATTTAGAAAACAAAATCAACTCAAGATAATAACTCGTCTTGGATTCAGTCTAATTAAAACCGGCTCATCAATCTCATTCCGCCAAACATGAAGAGGGCGGTGAATTATCATGACGTCATCCGACAATAAAAATGCTTGAAAGTATAACACGAAAGGAATTAAGCTATTTTGTGACTAATATTCCTTTTAATCTTTTACAGTATTTCAGTTTGTAAGGCATTTCTTTATCCCTAAAATTACGCTCATAGACCTTGTAAGCTTGCATATGAACAAAGGAAATAGACTCGAGTGTTAAGAAAGTTCAGACGAAACACTTAAAATGGTGATAAAATAAAATAAAACCAAGTACGAACAATCAAAACCATCAGACAAAATTCGAAGTCCTAAAAAAACGGTATAGACAAAATAGTGTAATCAGCAAATGGACTGTTCACCGTGTACAAAATACACGACAAACAGTGGTAACATGTGTCCGGAAGAGTAAGCTTACCCTGCCTCCTACGGATAAAATTATAATCAAGGTTTCTATATTATTTTCCCTCAAATATATGTGTTTAAATCAGCACTTGACCATTTGATATTTGTTGTGTGCTTACAATGTCTGTGTACTTTGTATCTTGTATACATGTTTTCGATTCCCTGGTTGTACGTGACAAGGAGTAGGGTCGCTTGTCCAACCTCGTGGGTTTTCTCTGGGTCCTCCGGTATCCTAAAGAACCCTACGCGCAAGCGAATTATTGAAATTAAATTAAACCATATATTAGTCCCGAAATGACCTAGTTTGTTTCGAGTGGACGTTAAACCCCATTTCTCTCTCTCTCTCTGTTCGGTTTTGTTTACGTGAAGTGCGATCCACCTGCACACCTGCACTGAACGAATGTTCTCGTTGTTAAGCCTTGCTCCTGTAGCTCACTATGCCTAATTAAGACTTTTCGCCCTTATTATTATTAATTGTTTGGCCTCCCAACTCATGAGTTAACAGACTATCATCCTCAAGAAACACAATACAGGAGACGACCATGGCAAGATCTGTCGCATAATCATGGGTGAATATACTTGGACCCCCCCCCCCCCCAAAAAAAAAAAAAAAAAAAAAAAACTTACATAGTAGGCTCAAACTCCTATTTATTTGCAACAATTATTAGGATTAGTTAAGATTCTATCTGTATAAAACCTGTACATATCCCAATATGGTTTATACTGCTAAACTAAAACACAGAGATAATCATCCTGGAAACATGTGTGAAGTGAAAAGTACCTGTGTTCCATAAAATTGTGTCTAGTTAATTTTTTTCTGCCACTCATCAGAGTGAATCGCATGTAGGTACCCAAAAACATAACCTCCTAAACCAAATATTTATCGCCCGCTCAGCCAGCAACGTAACCATAATGCTTTTGCACAGCATGGCCACATGGTGTTTGTTTATATTTTTTAGGGGTTTTAAAAAATGGGTTAGGGTTAGGGTTAGGGGTTAGGGTTGCGGACCCCCCCCCCAATATATATTTCACGGCTACGCCTCTAGTCGCATTGGATGCCTGTTTCTTGTAGAGCATTGCTTTGTTTTTCATTTTGGGTGAAGCCAGTAACATTACCGGCCAGAGATTGTTGTACAGCTCAATGGAGTTTTACGACCCCCCCCACCCCAACGCCTGCACGCTTTCATTCTCCCAATTGTTCATTGCTTGCAATGTCAGTGAAGTTTGTGTCTTGTAGACGGGTGTGTCGTTTCGCTTTTTTGTGTGTAGTGTGGCCCTGCACTTACTAACAAAGACCGATATAAAAAATCAATTTGGACACCAAATTCTTTGCTAAATAAATTGTTGACGCAACACCGCGTGTTGATGTATCCTTAACGTTTCAACTGGACCATCACAAGAACTTTATTAACATGGCCTTTGTTCACACGGCAGTTCTTGCATTCTCGCAATCAGATTAAAACACAGATCCTATTTCGTTTCGTTTTTTATAGTTCAAAATGTCGTTTTACTTGTCTTTACTACACTAGGACCATTGACGTGTTCTGGGTGGTGTTAGGGATTAGCCAATGAAACGATCTGTTACGGCGAGCTTAATCAAAGGGTCAAAAGCCGCTCGTATGACCTCTGACGCGACCTATCGCTACAACTTGTCAGATCTTCATGTAGTGTAGGCCATCGAAGTATAAATAACGAAACGAAATATAGATCTGTATTCTAATTAGATTGTGCATTCTCGTTGTTCACATGTTGTTAGAAACTGTTCTTCAGTATTGACGCGCTTTATAAATGACGATATTATTATTATTATTAATAAGACCCATTACGTACCCCAGATTCTGCATCAGCAACATCCCTCTCTATATTGTCTTCACCAGCCATAGGTTGCATGTTCGTTATCATGTGGATTTCCTCGTGTGGTTGTGGACGACAATACATTGGCACGCTGATTGTCATGTCGTTTTCTATCGCTGAACCTGAAACCCTAAACTGGCAGGTATCACTGATAAGAAGTTCTTTAGGTCGTAAAACATGTCTCCGAAACTCTGGTCTCACCCTTCTAGATAGTAAGTAAACATCGTCCGAGGAAAATGTTACTGGCGTAGAAATTTTACAGTTAAGATTCCGTAAGTCCTTTGTTTCATCACTTTTTAGGACATTTCGATCGATTTTGATGTAGCTGGAAAACGATTATCATATGAACGTAAATATGCCTATAACGAGAGAGAGAGAGAGAGAGAGAGAGGGGGAGAGAGAGAGAGAGAGAGATGGGGTTTAACGTCCACTCGACATAAACTAGGTCAAATCGGGACTAACATATGCTTCAATTTTATTTCAATAATTCTCTTGCGCGCGTAGGGGTCTGTGGCGGTAGGAGGAAACCGGAGGACCCGGAGAAAACCCGCGAGGTTGGACAGGCGACCCTTCTCCTTCTTACGTACAACCGGGGAATCGAAACTACGCCAGTTGACTCAATGACGGACCTTATGATACAGCGCGCACGTGCTATAAAAAAAGCCATCCAACCCCTTGTTGTCCCTTGGTTATATTTGATTTGAACAGCTATTCTTTGCGATAAAGAGATAATTAAGTGCTAAAAGGTAAAGTATAAGTAACTTAACTGAACATACGCTCGTAACTAGCTAACTGATTTGTATGGTCTAACAAAGACCACCAAACCTCTAGATGCAGAGGGGGGTTGGATGGCTGAATGGTTAGCGTGCGCGCGCTGTATCAAAAAGTCTGTCATTGAGTCGACTGGTGTGGTTTCGAATCCCCGGTTGTACGTGACAAGGAGTAGGGTCGCCTGTCCAACCTCGTGGGTTTTCTCCGGGTCCTCCGGTTTCCTCCCACTACTAAAGACCCCTACGCGCAAGCGAATTATTGAAATAAAATTAAACCATATGTTAGTCACGAAATGACCTAGTTTGTGTCGAGTAGACGTTTAAACCTCTCTCTCTCTCTCTCTCTCTCTAGATGCAGATTAATAAAAGGGCCATGGGAATTGGCGAATTCAGTGTTTTAAAGTTCATGAAGCCAAGGAAATCACATTGAATAACAGATTGTACGTCACGTGTGCTCTTAAAAAACTTGATTGAAATATCTATTTCTGCTTACCCCTGTTTAATAGCATTAACAGTTTTCACAGAATCTAACATCAATGATGACATCTTGCTATCACTACATAATGACATAGGGGTAACACCATTCTGAAACAAAACAAATCTACAACAATCAACGATTTATAGTCTAAGTCATCCAGAGCACTTACATGCAATGAATTTCAATCTTTGCTACCAAAGTTTATTTATTGGGGATCCCATTACTAATACTTTCAACCGGGAATCCGATTCAAATACAGTCTGACCTCATCTAAATGTACACGATCTCACCCCGGCGCTTAATAAGACAAAAATCCCGTTTATACATTGGTGTGCACGTAAAAGATTCCTTGGCAGTTAGAATTCGATATGATTAGCCCATAGTGCCGTTGTCCGTGCGCAATTGTCCTCATACCACAATGTATGACGTTATGCCCGTCTTCATTAGCCCAGTCAGGACCGAACAGTAGGACGTTTAACACCATTTCATTTCATTTCATTAACCTTTTTGTTGAATAGCTTTGCAAATTATTCTTGATTAGATAAAGCTACACCCATTTGATAACGATACATTTAAATGTCCAGAATTGAGTTAATATAAAGTTGTAAAGACAGAGTTACCTCTGACTATATAAAATGTCCAATTATTTCAGTTGTTAATTATCAGATTTATTACTGTATATTTTAAAGCAAGTATTAAGGGGAAAAGAGAAATGTAGCTATAAACAGAGAAGACGGTGGCTTACCAGCACTGATTAATAAGATAAAAAGAAGTGACAGAACTGGTAGACTTACATAATCTGGTAGGGTTCCATCAGCACCACAAAAAACCAACAAATCAACAGACTTGATATGATCACCCTTCACAGCATAATGCAATGGGGTTCTTCCCTCCTGTAAGAATAAAGAAAGAAATGCATGGCGTTTCGAAAGTTTATACAAACAAATCTCAGTTAGTATATAAGGCGTATGATAAAGGTGGACATTTCGGCCATATGTATAGTAACGTTTGATAATATAGAGAAAACGCAGCTAGTACTACCGAAATCTTTCTTGGATATTTTTTTTAAAGGGACAATAACACTCTTGCTGGCTTGAAAGCTCCAGAAAATAAATAATATCTCTATCTAAGTACTATATGTTTAAGTGCCCTACCTGTTGTGTAAATTATCCATTACATCCTATTTTACTTGTCCAGAGAGTTCGAAAATATTTTTAAATCGAAGTTTCATTTGAAAAGGTTTACGTTAGACGTTTCAAACCATTAAGTTTCATTTGAAAAGGTTTACGTTAGACGTTTCAAACCATTATGTTGAATTTTTCAATTTTTTTAAATAAGGTTAAGATGAAATTTGTATCATCAATTAATTGAAATATTGTAAAATAGTACAATTTGTTGACCAGAATAAAGATTGGGACATATTATTCAGTTACAACAAGAGTGGTATTGAGCCTTTAAAAAAAAGAATCTAGTGGAATTTGGACAATTCCCTAGGTGAGATCTATCACAAAAATAATTATGCTACCGATGTCTTTCTGCAATATTTAAAACAATAGCCTAGCAATCTGCTTAAAACACAGATCCTATTTCGTTTCGTTTTTTATATTTCAAAATTTCGATTTATTTGTCTTTACTATACTAGGATCTGGAAAAGTTGTTATATAACCCGCGTTCTGGGTGGTGTGAGGGATTAGCCAATTAAACGGTCTGGATGGTGTGAGGGATTAGCCAATTAAACGGTATGTTACGGCGAGATTTTTTGGATAAGGTGCACGGAACTTTGGAAACGTCAACACTGATTGATTAATCAATGAATCAATGTCTGGCATCATAAGGCCAAAAGCCGCTCGTATGACAGCTGATGCGACCTTTCACTATAACTGATCAGATCTTCATGTAGTGTAGGCTATTTAAAATATAAAAAATAACGAAACGAAATATAGATCTTTATTTTAATCCGATGGATAGCCTAGTGGAATTGGAACAATTGCGAACTTCATCTATGATCTAACTCTTAAAACTAACCTCATCTTTTATATCAATATTAGCACCATTAGCTAACAGAAGATTGATACTATCAAAGTTACCATGTCCTGATGCATAATGTAAAGCAGTTCTTCCTTCCTACAAATATTTAAAACAGGCTTCAGTAATAGAGAGAGAGGGAGGGAGAGAGAGAGAGAGAGAGAGAGAGGGGGGGGGGTAACGTCCACTCGACACAAACTATGAAAATTCGGGACTAACACATGGTTCAATTTTATTTCAATAATTCGCTTGCGCTTAGGGTTCTTTAGCAGTGGGGGGAAACCGGAGGACCCGGAGAAAACCCACGAGGTTGGACAGGCTAGAATCTTCTGACAATGCTCATTAGATTAAGTCCTTGTAAAATGAACAGGTAACAAAACGTGACCAATACGAATGTTTGCTTTCGGTTGATCAATATACTGAATATTTCTGTGTTTTAATTTTTTGAAAACCACTTAATCTGGTCAAAATTAAATTATATTTGTGAATCATGCGTACCTTATCAGTTTTATTTAGCTTTGCACCTTGTTCTGTCAGAAGTTTTAACAGCACATAATTACAGCCCTTGGCGGCAATTATTAAAGGCGTCTCACCCTCCTGTAGGTAAAAAACAACCATTTGTTATACAAACTTTTGTAATCAATCTGTGCTTTTCTGTTTCCTAACGGCTATAACCTGGTGGTATTTTCAACAAGATTGTTGGATATATAGACCTAGATATCTACCCAAGATACCAAAATATTTGTGATTTGTAATGTAATAAACATGTTTTAAACTTATAATTTGCAGATCGTGTATGCTTATTAGTCTCCCACTGCGCTTTGGCCAAGGGTCTTTTAGAGAAATCAACCTATAAAACAACCAAGACCGACATAAAATATACATTATGGGAGATTAGATAAAGAACTGACAGTTCTCACTATAATAGTTAAAAACTAGACGATATAAAGGAATTTGCTGAACATTTCAGTCAAATTGATTCACTATGAACCTGGATATTAGCGTTTGTATTTTAGACCTAGCCTCGATCATCATTACTAAAGTCGGTAGGATAAAAAACATATTCTCGATTACCCATTTCTTGATTTAATCATGAATGGGCGCTGAGCAGCAGATCGGATCCTAATCCAATACATATCGCTAACTAGCGCTGACATCGAGAGCTGAACTAACACACAAACGACAGTGACACATATGTATATAGATACCTCATTTACTGTATCAATATGTATATTATGTAGATAACGTAATATATTTTCTGTTTGACCACGCCTTATTATAGCAAAGAAACGTCTTTCATACGATTCCATTTCAATGTTCGGTTTTCCCTTCTTCGGTTCTTCTTTCTTCGGTTCGTCCATCTGCAAAGAAAAAAACACTAATCAATTCGCTTAAAATAATAGTCTATGGGCAATTACGGAGATAAAATACGACCATTTATATGTTTCTTGACCGACAAGACATTACAAGACTTGATGATCACAACTGTTCAAAAACACAAACCGAAACTCCATTGAAGGAAATGGTAGACTTTTTTGCATGTAGGTACGTCATTTTTGGGGGAATGTCAGGGGCGGATACTTTGGAACACAATAACTCTCCTTCTAATTGGGGTAGAATGTTCAAACTTGGCGTAGGTGTCTATGAGGTGAGTGCCTTGACTGTGTTCTATCATGCACCTTTTTAACTAAGGCTAAGCAGACAATAACTCTCCTTCTAATTGAGGTAGAATTTTCAAACTTGGTGTAGGTGTCTATTAGGTGAGTGCCTTGACTATGTTCGATTATGCTCATTTTCCACTAAGGCAAAGTAGAGGTAAGCAAATTGATTGGCTAAGACTTTGGAACACGATAACTTTGGTTCTAATTGGGTGTGAGTGACGAAATGTGGAGTGCAGATTCATTATATCAATACCTTGACTAAGTTCCATGATGAAAATAAGCGATAAGCAATTTGATTGGTCAAGACTTTGGAGCGTAACAACTCTGCTTTTAATGTAGATGTTCATTACATGAATGTCTTCACTGAGTTTGATAATTAACATTTTCCGCTACAGTGTTAAGCAATTTGATTGGTCGATGCTTTGGGACAAGATAACTTTGAATGTAACTGATGGAGAGAAATGAAACTGTCAGGTACTTCAAAACCATGACTGAGTTCGATCGTGAACATTTCCGGCTTGAACTAAGGGTAGATAATCAGTTTGGTTACTCGATACTTTTCAAAAATATAAATGCGCAATTAATTAATATATGTCATATATCTATTTTTGGATTGCGGCGGGAGAGGGAGGGGGGGGGGCATCACTGTTGACTGACATGTTTCGTTTTAGAAATATTATATACCATCACTACAGTAAATACGATTTCATCGTCGTCAATCTAATTCTCAATAATCTATAAACTTACAATAACATATTCCACCCTTCCACGGTTACTTATCTTTTTTTATCCATAATATTACGCTTACCCAACTAATCTGGACTGTCGGAGGAGTGTGGGGGTTTTCGTTGTTTTTTTGTCGTTTTTTTTGCGGGCAGGGGGGGGGGGGGATTTAAGTACGATTCAAAAACGGCTCGAAGTGTTGTCCGATTATTTGGACAATTGAATCAAACTACTGTTATAAGAAAACTGTTTCTCGCCGCTCGGGTCGGCTGGTCGCTTATACATGTATATACAGCCACCTAATCATTGGAAACCCATTCTTGCCAAAGCAGAATTCAATTTATCTACAGTATTACCGGACCGTTTTTTTATGTATCCAAATGTCCGGATCGTCGATGTAAATGTTGAGACCAAATAACAAATATAATTTTCCTATCATGAACGGGATTCTAACATTGAAAATGGACCCTTATTTGTAAATAGACATACCTTTAGATGTGCACAATACCTACAAGTAAAACTTAAATTTTCCCGTTTTATAAAATTAAATTCGATGATATGACGTAAAGAAAATTTAAACTGCTGTTTTACCATTATTATATGTCCACATTTTCATATGGACGTATATTGTCGTCGCCCCTGTCCGTGCGTCCGGTCGTGTGCCAGTTCAAATTTTGTTTATGGACACTCTTCATATGCGTGGAGTCCAGCTGGGTTCCCTTATATTAGACAACATCATACTCAAATTCGGCCCATGTCGGCCAAAGCGAAATGACGTTATTAGCATAATTCAATATGAAGGCCCCCATGACGTTTCTGAGAGTGATATCCCGTAATCAGTGGTGATAATATATGCCACATAGATAATTAGTATCTACATTCATGTTAAACCAACTGTATATATTTATTTTGAGGTCTTACGTCGAGCTGAATAAACTATATGATTTATTGTAATTAAAACATCAAGGGTTGTTGAACAGTGTGTAATTAAAAACTATGATTGGATCTTTGTAGAAGTAATTATATTGATTTTATTAAAGTGGCATGCGGTTACACATACCTCCCATAATATAGATTTAAAGACATAATATAAACTAAGATATCATTACATTCTTTAAGGAGGAGATTATAATTTATTGTGTAACATTGTGATTGTAATCAAGGCAATGAATCCCATTCTACGCCACAAACAAGTTATAGCAAGAAATCTCCCATTCTACGCTACAAACAAGAAATCCTTCTACATCAAGTCTATTGCATCCAAATATTTAAAGCGCGTTACAATATATTCCTTTGAAAGAAACTATGTCATTTCGGGATTAACATATTGTACAATTCATACGATTTATCCGGACTATAGTATAAACATGGTTTGTAGACTCTATCTGAACTACAGTGCAAACATGGTTTAGAGACTCTATCTGAACTACAGATGACGCCGTGGATTTAAAGACTACAGACTACATTATGGTTTAGAGACTCTATCTGAACTACAGGGTACATCATGGTTTAAAGTGCACATAAGATGGGCTTGAGAACTTTTCGATGCGTGTAGCCAATGGTTACTATATCAACTTTACGGCAAGTTCACACCAATCGGATCGAAATTAATTCAGTTATCTTTACTCAAAGCCGTAAAAATAGATCTCCCGTAAATACGACTTCGCCAATTATCTAAAAAAACACTCTTAATCCCCTCAGACGCCAGTGACGTCACTGTGACCGAATGCATATTCGGAATGTTTATTCCTTAATTACCTATATACAGCCGGCGTATGTATTCATTAACGCATGACTGATTCCTCAATCCCCCTAATTAAATAAAACAATTCACTACGGAATAATTTGTTTTGTAATTCATTTTAATATAAGATCCAATTTAGAATTTGTTTCATAATGTACGGTCGCTCTCGTTTCTTACGACAGCAATTTTAATGCCCTCTAACATCGTATGCAGTCCAATCGATTCGAGATACATTTTCGTCAAAAGAGTATTGTGGTTTTAATTTCCCCGAGTAAAAGAGTACAGGAGTAAAATGATGTGGTCATGCAAAATGTATCATAAATGTCAAACATGATTGAAACGCGATTTGTAAATGACGATCCGTTATCATCGTACGGCGGATTTGACTTCATTACTGTGAAATAGACCGTAAAAATGAAATACGAAAAAATATCTCAATATACGTTAGAATTAACAGTACAAATAAATTTTGTTAATAACCATTTAAATGGAAGAATAGACAGATTGAGAAGGGTCATCTAACTATCTTTGTGTATTGATAATAATTTGGCAAGTAGTGTCGTTAATATCTGTCATTAATTAATCAATCCGACTAAAGTTATACAGACTTGGGGTCATAAATTAATTTACATCTCGGTGTTAGCAGTGATTGTTAGAGGGATTAAGCATGCTGATTAGGTAATTATCTTTTTTACGCCGGCCAGATCAGAGACATCACTCTAGGTAAACGTGTGCGTAGTACCCACGAATGAACTAATTGTAGAATCGTACACACACATATTAATTGTATAAATTAATTAAGTTTTACTCATCAATTGTTTATATACTATTCAAAAAAAGTAGGGGATATTTGATTTTGGGGGCATAATACTAAAATATGCAAATGACTACGAAAAAAGTCACTATAGAACCTAACAGAAGAAACATTTCCAGTTACATGTGACGCCCAAACGCACCAATAGCTACCGCATGGAATGCAGGTGATGCTTGGGATCATCATGGGGGTCCAACCCAAGATTTGCACGACTCTGACTTTGAATGTTACAGTCATTGTGGCATTGAATTCCAGGGTGGAAACATCAGTTTAATTGTTTTAGTGACCAGAAAACAAATTTTGATATGCGTCGGTTTACCCAAAATGAAAGGTTACGTGCCCTTGGCATGCTACAGATCGGGACAACACAGGCGGTTGTGGCGCGGACGATGAATGTTTCTCAGTCTGTCATAAGCAGGCTATGGTCCAGATACCGTGATACACAATCTGTACAGGACAGACCACGCTCAGGTCGACCAAGGGCGACAACTCAAGCCCAGGATCGATTTATCCGTACCTTGGCCTTGAGAAATCGTGTCATCACAGCAAATCAGATCAGCGCTCGTCTTCAAACAGACACTGGTGTGAGAGTGAGTGGCCAGACGATTCGGAATCGACTGCATAGGGGTCACCTTCGCGCCCGACGTCCTCGCGTGATCCCTTGTTTGAGAGATCATCACATTCAGGCAAGACGTCGTTGGTGTAGGGATCGTCAACACTGGGATAATCGACGCTGGAGAAATGTGATGTTTTCAGATGAGTCAAGGTTCACTGTTGATTTTTTGGACAGACGTAGGAGGGTGTGGCGTCGTCGAAACGAGCGCTTCCAAGACGTTAACGTCATCAGACATGATCGATTTGGGGGTGGTTCTGTTATGGTGTGGGGAGGCATCACTGTTGCTGGAAGAACGGCTTTACATGTTGTTGCAGGGCGTGTTACAGGCCAGTACTACCGGGACAACATCTTGGCAGTCCATGTTGTGCCGTTCGCACGACGTCATGGCCGCCGTTTCATCTTCCAGGATGACAACGCAAGATGTCACAGGGCCAGGATCGTTACAGGTTACCTCCAACAACAGAACATCACCACATTACCTTGGCCAGCACTGAGTCCCGACCTCTCCCCCATCGAGCATGTCTGGGACATGCTTGGACAGAGGTTACGTCAACGTCAACAACGTCCTGCCAATGTCCAAGAACTTGCTGCTGCGTTGCAACAGGAATGGGACAATCTGGACCAAAATGACCTTAGACGTCTCATTAGGAGTATGCCACGTCGGATCAATGCTTGTTTGGCAAACAGAGGAGGATTTACCCGTTACTGACTTGGTTGTGATGCTGTGGTAACTTTGCTGTTTGACCCCGGGTATCATTTTACCCTTATAATGGTCAGTCTGTGCCTTACTTAGTCTAACGATC